GGGGGGGGGGGGGGGGGGTACTCCCATATGGAAAAGTCGGGGATGCTCGTCATCTCGCTTAGGGGTATAAATCAAGGATTCTGGTCTCATTTAGGGTTTTCAGGGCGAAACGCCACTATTTTTATCTATCAAAGTAATTTTTAGGGTGCACCCCAAAATATGTTAATAAAAGAAATGCTCTCATTTCCGTTTTTAGGCACGATTTCCACCGGTCTCTCGAGTCCGGTCTAGTAGTGCGGGATCCTTGTCCTGAACAGCAACTGGTAATCTGGCCAATTCTGTTTTGGTGGTATCTTTTAGGCGTCAAATAAAACCTGAGCCGCGCCTTACAGGTTTAATTCATTTTCCGACCTTTTCGTATGGAGGTCCCCCAGGGGGGCTGTTTATTGCTGAATTCTAAATTGTTTTCGTCACAGGATCAGACTTTTCCGTGGAGTTGCAAATTATTTCTTCAAAATTATCGTTTTTCTGTCGCTGGACCGTTAAGCATTGTTTTCTACGCGCAAGGTTTAACTGAAATTATTTGTATCGCTCGCTTCTGATGCTGTTCGCGGAGTCAACGAAATTTGAACCCAGTTACCAACCAATCAAAGTCGTCCGTTCCAAGGGTTAAGAACTGCGCTACTCAAACTTGAATGGTGAGGTCAACTTAGATTTTGTTGTTGGAAAATCGTGCTGTAATTGGTAAAAATCTCTCAGGTGATTCGGTTGAAGTCATTGTATCGTAACTTTGTTCCTTATTAATAAAACCTGACCTTTTGTTCTTTCTGTTGTGTTTATCTCCTGGCAACTTCACCCGAAGAACTCTGAAATTCACATTGGAATCCTCAAAGCCAACGGCGATAAGACGCTCACGAGGACAAGCTGCTAAACTGTACACAGGGCTTTCCCTAGCAATTTCACTCAGCAGGTCACCTGACTTGACATTAAACAGCTGAAGAAAATGACCGCCAAATAAAACAGTGAAGCAAGTAATGCACTCCTCCTCACCAACAAACTTGCAATCAAGGCTGCCAAAAATCGGGGGGTGATCAGTACGTGGTTGTAGTGTGCAGAGTGTTTTTCCTGAAACTACATCGAGGACGTATAAGGCCGTGTCGGGAAAGCTCTTTTGTGCAGCAAATACGTAATAATGTTCAGTAGGAGAAAATGTCTTGTATCGAGAAAAGTCAAAGTTTGTGAAAAGCTGGGATATCTTCCAGAGTACTTTGTCTCCACATTGCATCTGCAACTTTCCATGAGCAGCGGATATCACGTGACATTTACTGTTACATCCAACGAACTTCCCGTGAATAGTAATTGTTGATACAATGCCTTCCCTAGTTGTATCCACAATGATGACTTTGCTCTCTTCTGTACAGGCGCTGTTTACTTCAAAGGCCACTTGTTCTTCTGATATGGGGATTACTCCAGTGATGTCTCCTAAGTCAGTCCAACTTCGGATGCACTCAGACAACTCAAAATTCCACAGCTCAAGGACGTGGCGACTGGTTTGCAACAGAACACCTTCCCTTACAGCGACAAGATTATATTGACGGAACCAACTAGGGTGAGGAAAAATTTTTATTGCATGTTTGACCAAACCACTTGAAATGTCCCAAGCCGTAAGTGTTGCTGGACTGCGATCTGTTGTTGTGATAACAAACAGAGTGTCACCATTCAATGATAATACGACTTCCCTCGCAGTAGTTATTGAAACTCTGGCACTGTCTTTCGTCAGTTCACCAAGCTGCGACATCTCTATGGTGCTGGCACCACAAGCAACGGTCAATACAGATTTTTCATTGAGTACAAAAGCAAGTCCAGGTCTGTCAGGTTCCCGTGAGAAGATGGTATCTCCTCCAGATGGAAACCAAAAAGGATCTCCTAATAAAAATCCGGTCTCACTACACGATTCAAATTCCCAGGGGTGATAAGACACTTCATTAGGCAAAACATCTAAAGAAAAGTCGCCGCCATTTTCCATGTTGACGTCTAAAAGAAAGAGATGGCACCTAGCACTGTTGAAAACCAAAGAATACAGACATCGACAGTCAGGGGAGAACTTTATCATTCCGCATACTTCTGAAAGAGCCGTCTGTGCTAGAGTTCTATAATCATCCATTACGTCAACCAACGTTAACGAACCAGAAAGGTCAGAAATTGCAACCAGTCTTCCATCGCGAGACCAAGCAAATGACACAATATCGTCACTCCATGAAAAACGATTCATCTGTGAGCCATCTTTCAGACTCCACATGATAATTGATTTAGCATCATTGGGGCAATCAGTTAACATCTTGGTCTTTTCTGCAGAAATTGAACAAACCCAGAAACGGCACTTGCTAGAAAGGAAAAGTGGTTTTAGGTCCCCGTCAAACGTATAGGCATGGCTGAGGATTCCTGGTAAGACAAGGTCCTCCGTAGGATGAAACACTACTGAGCGGTAAACTGACTTGGGAGGACATGGCCGATCATCGTCATCATACTGGTTGTTGACGCAGTGACTTTTGGTTCCCTTATATGCTTCGTAGATAGGAAGAAAGTCATTGTCATCATACTCGAAGTAGTAATCTTTCGTTTCCGTGACATTTCGTTTCCATAGCTGCTTGCCAGTATGGATCGACCATAGCTGTATCGTGTTATCAAAGCAATCACATACCATGTAGTCTAACTGTGGTGAAACATCAAAACAAATTACGGTAGCTGAACACTCAAATTTGAATTGAACACGCCCTTGCAAATCCTCCTTTTGCAAGTATTCCATATACACCATTTCAGAATATTTAGTCTCTAAAAGGTGTGAAGCTTCAGATGAAAGTTCACGTCCTCCTTCGTTTAACAAGATTTGAAAGATGTTGTGGGGAAGCTTTTCTAATGTCCCGAGATGCTTTCTTAACAAGACCAACAAAGTGTTAAGGACCCTCTGAAGTTCTTCGATACCCACTTGCTTCTGGACGCAAACAATGTCTTCAAAAGCCGCTGTAACATTCACACACAACTTTGCGTACACAAGCTCTACGTCCAAGACAAATTTCTTAACAACCTCCTCAAGGCTGCATACTCTTCCATCCTCTAGTTGTAGCAAGTGTTGAACTCCATGTCTCAGAGCGTACTTTGTAGTGTCAGGGAACTGTGCGCCGTCAAGACCTTTTCGTTTCACCTCATCAAACTCATCAATGCAGAGCTTAGAAAGGACTTCATGGCCTTCTTTTTCGTCCACAATGAAGTGATGCTGTCCGTAATTAGATTTTTCAATCAACCAGTCTTTGACTGACTTGTGAAAGAAGTGAATGCACTCGTCTTGAAGGGGTAGAAGTGCCGAGACACAGGCAATTGCTGCATTTACTTTTCGCTGAGCCACTGTTCTCGATCTACCTGGTAGCAACAATTTAGAAACAAAACCGAGTGGTAAAGGCTCTCTTGCGGCAGCGACCACACTCAGAAATGTCAAAAATTGGTCTTCCGTGAGGTCAAGTTCCTTACAAAGTTCAGTCTCCAGTCGCTTGAAATACGACTGGTATACAGACGAAATGTCTGATGGTAAGATGTTGTCCAGCAGTTCAGGGGTTACCAATTGGACTTTCTTCTTTATGAAATCCTCTAGGTAATGAGCATATAGCATGACTCCTTCTGACTTTTGAACAAGTGCTTTCAAGATGTTTTCTCGATGCTCAGATTGCAATAAATGGCCGATTTGCATTTCTAAGCAAAGGTAAATATCCTTCAAGTTCTCTTTAATGTTTGGATCCAGCTGCAGGGGGTGCAAATTCCTTAACGTTTCTTCTATGTTTCTTTCCGGTCGCGTTGTCACCAGAAATCGAATCCACGGTGGAAGATTTTGGAAGTAATTAGCAATTACATCTAGTAGCTCATTTCTTCCTTGGAATTCGCTTTCGTCCAATCCATCTATTACCATCAGATAGGTTAAACCAGGGTCGTTCAAGCTGGCTAGAGGTTCCTCAAACAGCACTTCAAACAGATCCTTTACTTCCATGTTGTTTATCTCCACACCCAGATTTCTTGACAGCTTTCCCACGAGAGCTTCCTTGTAGTCTGGCAGAGAATCACAGAGCTGACTGGCTAAGGACTGTAGCATCACCTTGGGATTCCTCTGGCGCGACCTGTCATGCTGACAAAAGTGGCTTCCAGCTAGCCGTCCAACCGCTTGCATTTTTTTACACATGACAGCTGAGATTACAGACTTCCCCATCCCAGCATTTCCACTGATCACCATCACACGATTTGGAGAACTTCTGTCATATAACCAACTCTCGACTTTGGAAAAGATTGACAAACGGGTTCCCTCTACGCATCTGTCTGCGTGATATCTTACATTTTTCATGGTGTCAATCTTTGCGAGTTTTTTGAGTATGCCGTCTTCTCTGTACTTTTTTCTTTGACCTTCCACGTCTTCTTGCCACTTCACTTTTTTAACGTTGCTACCTTGCACTGTCTCACGATCACCTAGTTGGGTCTGGCGTTTTTCGTCAATAGTTTTCTGTGTAACAGCTACAGATTGGCACTTAAGTACATCTTCCACTATTACCTTGATATCCTGAATTGCTTTCTGACCTTCTAGTTGAGTCTGACGTATGTCCTTCAGCTGTGATTTGATATCCTCTTCACTTTCAGCCCAGTCAAACAACACGTCAATGAATTCTTCCTCCCCACAACGCTCTGCCTTCAATCTATCAATTTCCGCCTGAGGCAAACCAAGAGCAGCAAGAACAGCACCAATTTCCAGCCACAGAGCAGAGAAAGTAGGTGTATTAATACCAGTACTGGTAACATGACCGTACAACTCATTGCGGAAAAACTTGATGCGAGCAAGGTTTGCCTCAACAGAAGTATCACTAAAGGGTGGCTTAGTGTACCAACCAGAGGGAGGAGGGGAGAGTCCACAAATGTTGGTTAGAAGGAGGAATAACAAAGTGATGTCAAATTTGTTGGAGTCTGGTGTGGCCCCACTAGGTGGGAACAGTAAGTCCCACTGAGGTTTATGTAAAGCCCTCCGCCTTAAGAGATTGTTCAGAGTGTGATAGTTTGCATTGAGATCAGCCAACAGATATGCTGGGGGATGATGACTGTCGAAAATCCTCCTAAGAACCGTTGATCCACCATCAATGAGAAGTCTGCTCAGCTTGGCTCCATTTGTCTTCTCCACAGAGCTTACCAAGGGTGAAGAGGCAGCAGCCGCCATCTTAATCCAACGAGCAAAGGGGTAGGCCTCCAGTTACACCTGTAGAAGGTAATTTTTTTTTCTGTTCTTAGTTAATTCTAGCAAACGCAGGCCATTCCTAGCTAGGGCTTTCAGTCATAATGTTGCTTGCAGTGAGTTTGGCTGCCAATGAACTAAGACACAATTTCTTTGATTTTTTAAGTGATTAAGGTAAGCTACTATAATGACTATTGAATAAGAGCTTTGATGCGTTAGCTATAGCTTGAGTCCTTTGCAAGCATTGCATTCCTGTTAGGTTTAATTAAACTATCCAGAATTCATTGCTTCCAAAGGTGTGGAAGTCTGGGCCAGTGACCCAAGGAAGAAGCAGTTTTAATTTGTATAGTGGGTCAAAAGTTAAACTTTGCTTCTTTTTTTACAATGTAATTATAATAACTACATTATAATTTAAACAGGCTTTCTTAATAGAACTGACTGATGACATTTGTTTGGTCGTACAGGTGTCAGAGGTTGGCCACAGTCAGCGAGAGCTTTCCAATTAATTGTCCATGGATATTTCATTTTTAAATGCGAAAGAGATATGAGATGTAACGAAAATGTTTAACAGAGCTCAGTTCACAATCTCATAAAATAAAAAGGTGAGGGTCCGCTGCCAATGACTGAATTAAAAATTGAGGGTTTTTTGGTAAAAATGGCTAACACTCTGTGATTTTCTTCATACTGATTTTACCTCCCTTACATCTAAAATCCCTCCCAGCTGAGAGGCGGGGAGGAAGTAGTCTACAAAGTTTTATATGGGAAGGCTCTGCGGTAACGTCTAAATTATATGATACCACTGTAAAGTTTGTTTGTTCGAAACAATTTAATTTAAGGTCCCTTTTGAATACCTAAAAGGCAGATTTTCCTTCACTCTTTAAATACCTCAACTTGTGAACCCCTTAACCTTTAATATACATGAAGCCTGAACCTTTCAAGCAGAACCTCCCTGTACAGGCCATTGTAGCAAGTACATGTACCCTGAGGGCTAAAATCAAATCCCTTTGTAACGTTTTGTACCTGTCAAATTTATGCACAATATTTTCTCACAAACAAATAATTAATATTTCCCATGCATAATCACTCTACAATCCCCAGGGTTATCATTCATTTAGGGAGTACACAGGCGGCCAAGACGTCAAATACGATTAATACACGGTATGTGACATTGTGCTGTTGGCGACTGTATTACAATTTTAGCCGTTTATAAGACATGAGAAAGATTCGAAAATTGCTCTAAATACTATGTGTAGAAAATAATTTCAATAAAAGTATATCTTGCCTAAATGGCTTTAAACCACCTACAGGAACACAAAGACATCAAAATATGCAATGCAAACATAAGGCAAGCCACTTTTATTGAAATTATTTTCTACACATAGCATTAGGAGCAATTTTTGAAGCATTCTGACTCATACATTGCCTTTTAAATGGCTAAAATTGTAAGGCATTCACCAACAGCATAATGTCATGTATTAATCATATTCAACATCTGTGCTGCCTGTGGAGAATAGAGGGCTAGTTTTGTGAAGTAGACAGCTGTCACTAAACCAAATGCTGAAGGCACAAGTTTCTAGGGAGGTCTGGGGGCATGCCAAGAATTTTAGGGGATTTACATACAAAGACACTTTTTTCGATTTTTATCCTACACTGTAATTAAAAAACATACACCACATCCCGACCCAAGTCCCCTTCTTAGCTATGGCCTCTACTAACCTGAGACAAGGAGGGTCAACGCTCAGTCACATTCCAGAAAACCTGTGTTTTCTCCAAATTACTCTTTACAACTTACATACGTATTATATATCATTAATAGCCGAGTCGCACATGGAGGTTGGGTGCCCGGGAACCCAGGGGCTGGAGCTGCCGACCCCAAACCCGCAACCCAGCCATGAGCCCTGCCCGCCATACCCAGCCCCAGCCCAAGCACACATCACACAGAGCCAGGAGCTCAGTGGAAATAATAAAAATAATAACAATAATAAACAATAATAATAATAACAACAATAAAAATAAGTAACAAAATAACAATAAAAATACTAATAAATTAATAATAAATAAGGTAAAAATAATAAAGGGAGAGGAGGGTGGGAGAAAACACTAAAAAAACTCCAAAACTGATCAAGACGCCCCGAACACTAAGCACAGTAAAACTACGACCACATGTAAAGGCACATGCATAAATTGCAACAATACACCGTTGACCCGGGGGCACAGGAAACTGCTCCACACCAGGCCTACTACAGTGACGCAAACCCAAGCAACAAAACAAACGCCACAGCATGCCACCAAAAAACGCTAATAAACACTAACGCCACACCAATGCAACGCTAACAACTGAGCAACATGCTCCTCGTTGTTAACTGAGTTAAATAAGTATTAATATTTAACCTCGATAAAAAGTAGGCAGCTCAGAAATCGAAGTAGCCATTTTCTTAGCTGGCGACCAGCAGTTAATGAGAACCGTGGATCCCCTATTTTGGGGATAGTCTCTTACAGCAGGGTGACAGCTGGATTTAAACATCACAGTCACAAAGAAAGTCACACATATTGAAATGTAGCATTCTACACCAGTTAGGTATACACTAACATGACACATATTGCTTATCGCAGTGAGCTTTGTAGCTGTAGGGTATCATCAAGATTTAGTGGTCCTCACCCAGCATTTCAGCAGTGATCTCTTCAACACATGTTTACATCACATTTGTTTATGAAATGTCTTAGATGCTGTCTGATTGAGTGACCCTGATTGAAATTTACCATCATGCAAGTTTTAATTGTAGTTTGTAAAGTAAAGTAACAAGCTCTGGGTATAAACAATCATACCATTCAAACAGTGTTCCTCCGGTTAGTCAATTCTCTATCCTTTAAGCTTCATTTCCACTTTCACTGCAATCAAGATTAAAATTATTTAATAATTTACATATAATAAGATTTTTTTAAAATTAACTTTAACAGGTTATTCTTTCGAAAAAGACTCAGTGTGCATCTCATTGTTACATTTCTGTTTTTTAAAATAAATTCCTGAAACATTTTTAAATTCAGAAGTACTGGTTTCAAAAGATCAATAAATTGTTTCCTTGCAACATTAAGTAAACCAAGGCTGTGCTCTAACAAAAATTCTAGGGAGCCCTTCGGGCACCCAACCTTGTAGGCTAGGTTGCCCAGAGGTCCAGCTTGGTGGTCCGGACAAAAACAAAAAAAATCAAACTTAATTAATTATAATTATCTAATAGCATTAATAAATATATGATAACCGATTGACCCTCAAATAAAAATGTCTTGCATTGTTTCTAGGGCATTTATCCTATTTACAGATGCCAAAGATAAAGGTTCAAATGTGATTTTTTGTAATACTGTTGTCAAAAGTCCATAAAGAAAGACAAAATTTACAGTACACATTTTTATGAGTTAAAATGGTTGTTATATGTAGAAAAATTAAGTCTTTTTCCAATTCCCTCTTTTCCCTCTATAGTTCACATTCTCCTTCAATTAGGGACTTTTCATGCACATTATACAAACCATGAGAACTAAGAAGACTTCTTGTTGACACTATACAGAGTAAACAAAGAAACTGCTGTCTGTATCACTGCAGGTCAGTGTTAAACGTACGCATCGAACCAAGTTGAACGACCGAAGTTTTGAATACAACACAAGAAATCAAAAAAGGGAAAGACAAATTTATTATTGTGAGACTGTTTTCATCTCTAAGTTAAATCTCAAAAAGGAAGTTGCCCGGCCAAGCGACTAGGTATGTTATCTTGTCACCCGAACATGAAAGCCGGTTGGTGACCAGGCACTGCTAGAGCACAGCCTTGTAAATGCATCTTGCTATTTAACTGTTCTGAAAAACATTACTGATGAGATATTCTTTCTCTCTGCGGGATGATATCAACCGAAAATCGCTCTGGTGCATTTTGATTCTCTTAACTACAATTTAGTTACTATTCCTAATTCACTTGATTTTTTCAACAATTGGAAATCCAACCTTCCAACCCTCCCTTCCCCTATTAGCCTTTCATTTACTGACCACTCAGGCCTTTCATCTCAAATTCCATCCACAGCCTTCCCTCCCCTCTCTTATATCCCACTTTCACAGGTACGACAGTTGACCACTAAGATAATGATCATGTTGATTTTACCAGCTCTCTCCCTTTCCCTCCAAACAGCATTTCGTTGAGCAAATCAAGAGCCGGCTGAGCCCTAGGCCACCCAGTTAATTACATTATATGTCTATAGGGTAAGTGTCGCTGAATTCAACAGAACTGCTGTCATGGAAATGGTGATATAAATATGAAGCATAGACCTGTGGCTAACTGAGTACACGTAGCGGTTGTCATCAGGATCTGGTAAGGTTACAAACCTGGGGTGGGTGGGGTAAAGAGATTTTGGCCTTGTGTTACATGTAAATGTCGGTGGAATAGACTTAACAATACAATTGGATGTTATTAATTTTTATGTCTAGCCCTAAGATAAACTGTAGGCAGGGAGGATAT